GTGTGTGTGTGTGTGTGTGTGTGTAATCTTAGATAAATAAAATAATAGCTAAACTGACACTGTAACAAGTATTATAAACGATGTTTGTACACCCATGTCTCGGTTGGATGCTGTAGCCACTAGTCACAACTTCTGTGTGTAACCGTTATATTCATCTCTAACTGCAAACGGCTGTCAAAAACGTTGTGATCAATACTTGTGCAAAACGTACAAGACCATGTCCATATACACTAATCCCTTATAAATGGCTACTGTATATAAAGTAAAAAACGGGCCGGTATGCGTATACTTTTATGCTTTTTATGTCTTCAACAGAGCTTCTATCTGTGCATGTCCTTGAACTGTGCGAACACCTCCAGAATCTGCGAGTTACAGTCGGACGTAAAGACGAGAGACTCCAGCGTAACCAGAAACCCAGCAATCTCTCGATGATACTGCATGGGGAAACGGAAACAGGGACGGATGAGCATGTACGTGAAGGTATATACATACCAACAGAGACAGTGCGCATGTAGATATAACTATATACATCGAAACAGATGAACCTATATACATCTAGACGGTTAAATATATATACTTATAAAGAGATATATCTATATATATATCTAAATAGATAATCTATATACATCTAAACAGATAAATCTATATCTAAACAGTTAAATCTATGTACATCTAAACAGGTAATCTATATACATTTAAACAGAGATATGTAGGTAGATATGTTTGTCCACTTGCAAACACAGGAAGAAACACTCCACTGCCGTAATACAACAGGTGGCGTGAAGCAACTACAAGTCACATATCAGACAACCCGAAATAACTTTGATACTCCTACGCAAATACATTGCATACTTATGTACATGTAGCACAATGTTGCGATAGTTAAATTGTATATGTTTGTACATGTAGGACAATGCTACGATGGTTAAATTGTATACGTGTGCACATATAGCACAATGCTACGACAGCTACATGCATGCACTCACATACCCTCCTGCCGAAGGACAACAGCCGACCCAAGACTACGGTGCACCACGGATCAGACGAGATGTTAGTGCCTTCTATGTAGCCCTTTTCCTCAAAGTACGTGCCTATCACCACAATGAATTGCTGTATGTTGTGTGTTGCGTGTAGTGAAGCGAGAAATGTGAGTATGGGCGCAGGACTTGGATGTTTGCATTAGTATGTTATTAAAATAGTAGAAGGCGCATGCATACACACATACGTACAATATATACATGCATGCATGCATGCATACATACATACATACATACATACATACATACATACATACATACATACATACATACATACATACATACATACATACATACATACATACATACAGACTATACATACATACATACATAC